TTTCTCAGACGCTTGCAGAAAAAGGCTTACCAAAACAAAGTTACTGGGTTAATCTTTTTCAAGTTTCCTTAGTTGATATATGCACCAGGGACCTGATTATAGCACTTAAATCCTGGAAAAGTCAGATTTTCATGATATGTCACCTTTTAAACAACAAGAAACACATTGAGTTAAAAATAATAATATTTGAAATAACAATAGCCTACAGTATATGAGACTTGTAAAGACATACTCCAAACTGGTTTGATTTAATGAGCAAATGTTCAGAGTAAATGTTTAAAATTTGTTATAATTTTATTTATTTTTCATCCAATTTTAATCATTCAAAAAATTAAATGTAAGTTTTTGACATGGGCCTAGTTTTTTATAGGGTTAAAAATAAATATGCGCACGCAAATAATATTCATGTTCAGTAAATATCGCGTTTTAAGTGAGCGCCGTAAGCCATCCTGCCAGGTTAAAAACAAGCAGATCAACTGTTCAAAACGCCCCGTCTAGCTGTTGAACGCAAAAACGCGCCCTGTGTAAACACCTCCCAACACCTGCGGCGGGAAATACCTCGTGGAGATGATCGAGCAGCAGCTTACACTCCGACTAAATATAGATTCGTCGCGAGTGAACCCGGACACCGCGCCTCCCCACGCACAGCTCGTTTATCTGCATGCTGTGATTAGCTGGAAAGTTTGATTATATCGATGACACCTTTTCCTGTTTTTTTAAATATTAGATTTTTTGCCACAGGAAAAAAAATGGATTTCGTTAGAGTAAAAGACCGTAACCTTCAACTACACACGCGTAAAGCGCATTTTTAACTCATTGTTCTTGGCAGTGCGCACACGCTGTCCAACAAGTGCGTGCTCGAGGCTCACCTGCTGTGTCTTAAGAAGCGATTGAGGAGAAAACAATCATATGGAGATCACTGTCTAACGACCTGGAGATCGAATCGTCCACGCAACCTCGCCAAACACGCACATACGTTGTCGCATTGATAAACATGCGCGTTTGTTTCATGCGCGTCGTGTGAGCTGGTGGATTATGAGGATCTGCTAGTTTCCCCGCCGATGGAGCCGCCGTAATTCGTTGTCTTTGTCATTTTTACAACAAACTAAAGACCGGGCGTTTGCTTATATTGTGAAGATCCAAACCCAAAAGCCTTTAAATCTAGACCACCAGTGACCTGTGAAGACTTGTAAATCCCTACACCTGGGTTCTTGGAGAGGGCTGCGCAATTGCGCACGCTGCGAGAGTATACCATCGGACCTTTCCATGGAATCCACTCCACGCGTGATCTCCAGTGAGGGGTTCAGTCCGATCTGCTGTGGGGTAAAAAGTTGCCGCCTGGACAGTAAATCTCATATATGAGGATCAATACACACGTGCTGGTCAACATAAATTGCAAAAATGCCTATGCATCCTGTGTCTTCCACTTTGATGTACCGGGGGGTCTGCACCATTCCTGATATCCTGTCGTACCGGGCACCGGTCAACCTTCCTGAGGATGAGGTGGAAGGTGAGTGAGAGGGTCCAGGTGTTGTTTGAAGCCCATTTTCTCTTGTATTTTATATAAAAACGAATACATTCTTACTAATTCTTGCATTACTTTAGTGTATTTCGACCTGTTCCCTGGACAGAAGGTCGGTGTTTTGCGCACCTTTTGGTGATTCCCCCACCCCGTATCTGAATGACCCAATTTCCACTTAAAATGTTGTAAGTGAACAGTGAAGAGAAACACATTTTTTTCTGTTTAGTTAGAACAGTTGGAAGGATTCAGCACCACGCACAAGGCACAGCGCAGTTCACTTAAAACGCGTGAAAATCCCGTTTACCTGTGCCTTTGTTTCTATTTCTATGAGGTGGATAAATCTGATGGTGTGATTTATGGAAAGCAGGTCTATCACAAACCAGCAGAAAGACCTGTGAGTGGTATGCTGCAGTTCTGGCATCTCTTCGACTTTAAACTTTTTCATGATGTGCATGTGTGAGTAAATTAGAAGTGCATCCAAATATTAAGTCTTTGACACACTATTCTAATCCGTAAAGGAAATACTAGTTTTGTTTTTTAGATTATGAAACATATTAAACTAAAGATGCATATTCAATTCGACAGAGTATTTCCATAACACGGTTTCTCATTTGTGTCGGAAAGTTTACTCTGATGAGTATCCTACTGTATATAATCGTATAAAAACAGAAGTAGTCACATGTTTAGCTTTTCTGATTAAAATGATGGTTTATGAGCAGGTCTCTCATAAGCCAGCAAAAAGACCTGTTCGTGATACGTAGCACTAATGTGAACATCTCATTTGCAGTGACACCTGTCTCAGTGACAGAGTTTTTGATACCATGCCATAAAACCAACACTTTTAATTTTTAGAATCTGAAACATATTGCACTATACCATATGCAAATGAATAGACTGGTTGATTTATACATACTATTACCCCAGTGTTTCCCAATGCATGGAATATCCCTAACACGTTTTGGATCCCTGAATATTTTGGATGACTCTTGTCTTGATTAACGCACTTGGTTTATATCATCAGCTCATAAATAGTGGCACCAAGACCTGAACTGGTGCGTCAGATAGAGAGGCATCCAAAATGTGCAGTGTTGTGGACCTCCAGGATCAGTATTGAAAAACAACTGGTTTACCTTGATAAATATTCAATTAAATAAAATCATTAAAATGTAATTTTAACTCGACACATTGTGGTCTACATGATCAATACCAGCAAAATAAATGGCTTTTTATTTTAAAATGTAATTTGAACTAGCCACAGCATGCTCAATAAAGAAAAATGAATGTCTTTTTATTTAACAAAACAAAAGAACATGCTGTTTTTTTTTCTACCACCATGCAATGCTTTAGGTATAGGTTACATGTGAAATGCAAACTATAATGAGCTCAGTGTAATCAGATTGCATCCAAATCCCATGCTTTTTCATTTAACGTCTATGCATGTTGACAAAATTTGAAATCAATTTATTATTTAATTGCAAAAGTATAAATGTTTGTAATGCAGGGGTCTGTAATGTCAAAATGTGCCATCAAATGCATTCATTCAGATGAGTTTTTCCATTAAACCTTGTATATTGACGTCTGACTGGTGTGATTGTCAGCTCAGTTCAAAGTGTCTTTCCAGATCAATCTTTTGTGATTAAGCTTTAATTAAGTATCTCAGCACCTCATTGCAATTCCATTCATCAAGGGATGTTTTCTATCAGTGCATCCAGTTAAATAAAATATAGCCCAAATTCTCAAGGCCGATTCTCATGCTCTTAACCCTTGAAAACCTGCTGGTCTGAACTAACACAAGCTAAATGGCGAGAAAGTGCAAGTGCAAGATGTGAGGGGCCACATGTGGATGTTTCCTGTAGTACATGATTGTGTGCGTTCTGTACATACACAAATATCCATGTGTGAATGTGACAGTCAGTCTATTTGCAAATGTGCCTGCATGTTCACAAATGACAACTGTGCCACATTTGGTCACCCCAGATCATATGTGTAGCATATCCACAGAGATGGAAAACAGAGAGTAAATATGAGGAGACAAATCACTGGGTTTCATCCTCATAACAGTTTTATACAGATTTGTTCAGCAAATAGAAATGTAGCTCATGGATTAAGTTGTTGGTGCAGTTGTGCTCACACTTATGAAGTAGGCCATGTTCATTCTTGTCCTTAGGATATATAGTTGTTTATTTGTGAATCTTGAGTTTGATATTTTGCTTTGAACTCGTATGACACGCCGGGGGCAGAAACTGAGATGTAATTTGTGAGCTAGATCCGTGCATCTTTATTTTAGTTAGCAATATTTCATCATAAACCCATCCTTATTCAAAATGAAGAATGAGGATAAGAGCCTCAGCTAAAGCTCGAAGAATTCATTATTATTCTCAGATGAAGATTGCTTTAAGTCTGGTTCATCTAAAAGACATTATCTCCTGACTGTATGCTCACACACTGGACATCTTAACTTGCTGATAACGTCCTTTAAAGGATTAGTTCACACAAAAATGAAAATTCTGACATAATTTCCTCGTTCCAAACCCGTATGACTTTTTTTCTTAGTGGAACACTAAAGGAGATGAATGGAGAATGAAGCTTTCAAGCTTTCCACTTCATCCAAATGGCTTGTTGTGTGCTATATTCCAAGTCTTCTGAGGCTGTACAAAAGCTTTGTGTGAAGAACAAACTGCAATACGAGTCATTATTCGCTGATAATCCTCAGTTCCAGTGGGCTGTTAACCACAGTGCCCGAATCAAGTCAGTGAGTTGAACGCAAGAATCAAATGAGTCGGATTATTGAATGAATCTTTTATACTTGTTTAGTGAACTGGATCAATTGATTAATTGAAAAGGTCTGAAAATGTACTCACCTTCACGCCATCCAAGATGTAGATGAGTTTGTTTCTTCATCAGAACAGATTTGGAGAAATTTAGCATTACATCACTTGCTCACCAATGGATCCTCTGCAGTGAATGGGTGCCGTCAGATTGAGAGTCCAAACAGCTGATAAAAACATCACAATAATCCACAAGTAATCCACATGACTCCAGTCCATCACTTAAGGTCTTTTGAAATGAAAAGCTGCATGTTTAAAAGAAACAAATCCATCATTAAGGTGTTTTTAACTTCAAACTGCAAATACAAGTTCTATCCATAATATTGCTTTCTCCAGTGAAAAAGTTGCTTCGTCTGAATCAGGAGAGAAATATACACATATCAAGCACCATTGAAAACAGTCAAAAATGTGAGGGATTTTGATGTGAGAGGACAACTGGAGATGGACTTGTTCACTGGAGGAAGTGTTATGGATTATGAACTCATATTTTGGCCAGAAGCAAAACGCCTTAATGATGGACGTGTTTATTACATACCACCCTGAGTATGTGGTTTTTGCTTAGGTGTGATTGTAGTAGTTCCTACATTTTTTAAATACATTTTAAATACATTTTAGTAGTTACTGGTCAATCTTGAATTGTTGATGAAAATATTTGTATGCAAATTTCACATTCAAATTCATTGTTACTTCCCTCACAAGGACGAATGGCAAGACTTTCATTGGATAACCGCTTACATTTCAGTTTGTTCCTCATGCACATATTTTAAATGTAGCGGAAAAGCCACTTTTATGATGTGTTTTTGTCATTTTGTCATTATAAAGACTGGCCAGAATGTTCTATAAAACTCACATTTGTGACCCTGGAGCACAAAACCAGTCATAAGTAGCACGGGT